AACTCACATTCGGGTCCTTGTGATAAAGGTAACTTCCTTCTCAACTTTTTTTTAGTTTTCCGTTCCTTCTGAAATATTGTTAGGAGATCCCTTGTCACCTCAAACCCCTCATATGACACATCAAAAACTCTATCAAAGGCATTAGTTTTTTTCGCCACCATATTGAATCTTTCACTGAATCTTCCACCTTTTCATCAGGGCTATTATCGTCTGGTACAAAAGGTTCAATTGCCAGTATAGGGAGTTGGTGAAGAAGGTGTCAGCTTAAAAGTAGTTGACTTTCGGAACCTACTGGTCTTGTAGCCTATCGAGTAAATGTGCTGAGTAAATGTGCTTACCGGCATGGATAATGGAACTAGCTCATAGATGGTTAAGATAAATTATTTCTTAAAAAGAAGTTGACATGGTAATACACTGTCAGTTGATGAATTTAGAGATATGATTTCTGCAACTACTGCTGACCGAGCTGGTGGAAAAGAGGAAAGATGGTTTGCAAAGACTATGAAGAGTTCAATAGTCATATCTTAGAAACTGAAATTACTTATTAACTTTTCTTGTTTTCTTCTGGATATATATTGGATGATAGAATGAATACCACCGTGAAGCTTGTCATGTGAAGCATAATCAGAGCCCAACGTGTCTTCTAATTGCTTATTCATCTACATTATCAAAATTCTTTTTGCTTCTTTACCTATAGTATCAAGAAATCACAAGGACAAGATGCTTTGTCAAATCATTTCTAATTCCTGTCACCTTTGTGTACGTTTAGTCTTGAGAGGATCATGTATGTGTTAAACCTGATAAAATTAGAAAAATGATAACCCAAAGAATGCCAGGGGAGGGGAAAAAGTGAAACAGTGGAATTATGGCCTTTGTCTAGATAAGTTACATCAACCTCTCTCCCCATAATCTACCCACCCTTGTTGGAGATTAGACAATTCCATTTATAGCAAATTGGTTATTTGATAGGACTATTAGTTTGCCTCTAAGATTGCAATTTAAGGCCTGAACTCATGCTTTATATGCAAAATAAATGACTCCTTAGGGTTCTGAATTCTTCTGATCAAGCTCCCCACATGTGATGTTATGTTGTTTTGAGAATTGGTGCTTGTGGTGAGATCGAGAACCTTGGCATGTAAACCATCCATGATGTTTTATCTTTCTCAAAGCTGTCTGGTCTGCTCTAGTTATGAAGAACCAAAGCAGGATGTATGAATAAGGGCCCTTAGCTTTATTCTTCTAGTTTAATCGTTACGGTTTTATGAACAGTTTTTTTGGTTGCCTTCTTTGGTGCTTCCTGTCCTTTTTTCTCAGTGTATCTTCTTGTTGTGTGTGAGTATCTCTTGAATTTGCTTCTCAACTAGATGGCTACCATCAACATATCACCTGCAGCTACATTCTGGGCATGAACACTCTGCTATACCAATTTTATCCCGGAATGGGTGCTGCAGTTAACAGTTATAGTTTGTAAACCTTTTGAAGAAGCTGTGCGTTCTATTGTTAAAAGATTTTGGGTTTTAGCATAACTTGTGTTCCTTTCTTTTATTGTTATTCTTGTTTCGATGCAGTACATGGTCTAGAGTATGGGTATGGAGCCCACGACTATCCAACTAGTGGGGTTTTTGAGGTGGAGCCACGTAGTTGTCCTGGTTTTGTGTTTAGACGGGCAGTACTCCTGGGCAGCACAGACATGTCTCGATCAGAAGTTCGGTCATTTATGGAACATATTTCAGAAAAATATCATGGGGACAGTTATCATTTGATTGCCAAGAACTGCAACCATTTTGCCGATGAAGTCTGTTCACGTCTCACGGGAAAGCCAATTCCTGGATGGGTGAATCGACTGGCCCGAGTAGGTAAGTATGAACCAATGTCCATCTGGATCTATTGTGGGGCAACTTTCAAGTGTGAACCAGTGTCCATCTGCATCTATTTGCTCTTGTTCCTATCTGCATTACTTTATAATATGGTTTTAAGTTGTGGCAAAAACAAATAGCTGTATAAATCCTGCTTTTCTGGGCTATTCTTGGTAAAACTTCTAGCTTGTTTCACACAATTATCTTTGAAGTTTCAGGCTCATTCTGCAATTGCATTTTACCAGAAGCTATTCAAGTTACAAGAATCAGTCATCTTCCTGATCATCAAGCATTTTCAGGTTGGCGTGGACACTGTCTCTCTTCACCTTTTCTTTTTCAATGGGTGGTAAAAACGCAGGGTGAGAGTACTTCAGCTACCACATGCTTACTCCGATTAATGGAATATGAATTTTCGGGAATAAAGAGCAAATTAGGACTCGTCTGATTTCCTGCATGTGAAAAAATAATCTCGGCATGAAACTCTAGATTTCTATTACTCCCTTCGTCCTATTTATGTGAAGGTGTTTGTCTCGGTATGGAGTTTTAAGAAGTTAAGGACGGTTTTTGACATGCAAGCCAAACGTATGCAAAGTACCAAATGATCCTTTTTAATGGTAAAATAGGGACAGTAAGGGTAATAGTTTCTAAAAAGAGAAAGGTGTCATTCTTTTTGTGACAGACTAAAAAGAAAAGTTTCATGTGAAATGGGACAGAGGGAGTACAATGTTTATTTTTTAGCCTAAAAATCTGTATTACTAATACGACTATCGGTAGCAGAGCTGGTAAAATCTGCAGATATGCGTCTGAAATTGTTACTCGACAATTAATTATATATCTTTTGTTTCAGAACTTTTATATATCGGTTTATCTAGTTATTTGGGAATGTGAAGCTCCATTTTGATGGTAGTCACATCTGACATGACATATATTTGATGTATATGAGAAGACATGTAAACCATGTAATTGTCTTGAGTATATATTTACATAAAAATTGTTATGTATTTAGTTAAGAAAACTACTTTGGTGGACCACCCTTTGAATGCTCCTCTCTTTATAGAACTGCTCGTGATTACACATAATGATTAGCTAATGGTTCCAACTTATTAAGATGAGTGGATGTGGCTAAAGAAGCATCACACTGAGAAAGAAAAAGAAAAGAGAGAACTTTTGCGGCTGTGAATACCATAATCTTTCAACAATGTATTCTCTAGAGATTTAAGTATGTCATCAGGAATTCTTCTATTGATTGTAATAGTATCACGATAGGGTGGTCGTAGTTTTGGCCCCTTTAGTTGAACTTGATATCGTGTGTCCCATCTTTCAAAGGGAGTTTGAATGCTCATCTTTTGTTGATTGTGGGCTTAACTCAATCACAAAAATTTGCTTAAGTAGTGAGGATTGTCCACGACCAGTTAAGGAAACTATACCACCCTACGCAGTTAACTAATGAGGGATTCTAGCACACTCGCGCTCTCCCAGGGCGAGCCATTTGGAGCTTGCAGTAACATAACATGGCTGTCCCAACATCAGGGATGAGTCTGCCTGCCTCTGATATCATGTTGAGAAAATGGAGCAAGGCGCCTAACTGAACCCTGAAAGTTAGGTCCAGTGGTGAAGATTGTCCAGCAGTATAGAGAGTGCAACCTACACACTTAACAGATGTTAAGCGAGATTCTAACAGAGTGACCATACCTGAAAACCACCAAAGTTAAAGCCCTCGCAATGTACTTAAAAATTCAGGACTATTTATATGCTTACGACTGGATATGTTATTATGTCGAGCAAATTTCTCACTCAAATCTTTTAGTGCATTTTGTGTGTCTGTATGGATGCATGTAGCTGCACATATTAAGTACATTAGTCTTATTTTTAGCAGATGTACAATAACCTAAGGATGAAGGAATGATCATACATGTTATGTTGATGTAGGCTTTTGTTCTTAACTAACCGAAATGCATTGCAATTGTAGAAGATGGGACAGATTCTGGTGGGTCATCTGTATCTGCGGACAGCGAGGAGGAAGGCTCTGATCATCAGTTATTAACTGTAGCAAATAGTGATGTGGCGTTTCTGAATGAAAAACCAGTGAGATTAGCAAAAGAGCTTCTTTGATTGACACTCACTTTCTTTCTTTCTTTCTTTCTTTCTTCCTCACCTTTTTTTTAATAAAAAAAAAAACGTTCCTCTTACCACCAATTCATCTAAGCTCCTGGTTGGAGTCATGTTGTTTGTATTAGTGTATGTGTGTGTTCTCAAGTGTATCTAGTTAACCTGTCCTCGAAATACATTATTGTATTGTTCAATATACATTGAGCTGTGTATTCAGGTGTGTATTTACATATAACAGTCTGACTTAAGGATTCCATTGAATTGCTTTCCCCTGCTGATTTCCCCAATTTGTGTTTAGCTTGACATGGACGGTCCTGTGTAGTTGATTCGAAACTCTGAAATGCAATGTTCAGACCTCGGCAATTAAAGAAAGCGTTTTCCAGATATATCGACTACTTTCTCTTTTTGAATTTGGAACTTTGTGTTTAGAATGGAAAAAAGAGCAACCAGTATTGAGTGTTCATATGTCAGAGGAGTGAAAGAGAAGATAATTGACATTTGTATTTCACTATTTCTCCTACCCATCTTGATTTGGAAGGATTAATCTATTTTGTCAATTGAACCTACAAATGAATGAGCCGGGCTAAAATCCACCCAACCACGCTTCAACAAGAAGAGAACCGTTTTGGATGTATTTGAGGAAAAATAATATAAGTACCTAGAAAGTTGAACAAGTCAAATTCGTCTTTACTTAATCACCCTCCAAAGACCAAAGTCTAATGCAGTAATAATGCATTGACTATTACGTGGAACAAACGTAAAGACTTAAAAGTCGCCCCATTCGCCATCAACACTTTATTGGCTGAAGGCCGCCATGCTTATAGTTTAATTTTTATGCACTAGTAACGTATACAATTTATAATTTGGAAATAGTGTAATTAACATATTATTACACATAAAATTGCAAGGTTAGTGCAAAAATTATTTATACTATCAGTATATAAAAAAAAAATTGATAAAAGTGGGTTGCTCTGGTGGTAAGCACCCTCCACTTCCAACTAGGTTGTGAGTTCGAGTCACTCCAAGAGCAAGGTGGGGAGATCTTGGAGAAAGGCAGCCGAGTGTCTATCGGATACAACATCTCTACCTCAGGGTAGGGGTAAGGTGTTGTTGTTGTTGATGTTGTAGTATATAAAAATTAAATCCGGGTACTAATATTAAGGTGATAGTAGCTGGAAGGTCACCTTGATACTTTGCCCGTCTAGCACTTCAGGTCTCCGGTCCACAGTCTTTACCCCTTTCCCTACTCTTCACAACCCTTTTCTTGAAAGAGAAGTTAAGAATCTGTAAAATCCTAGTATTTCATTTGGGTGTTTGTTTAGCCTCTGAATATATGGATACTCTGATCTTCATTTCCCTCTTCATTCTTATTCTACATGTAAAAGCACAGGCAAATACAAACACAAATAGTTGCTCACCAATTAACTGTGCAAATAACTCTGATCTCAACATTCAGTTTCCTTTCAGACTGCAGGAATTTCAGCCTCAACACTGTGGTCTCCCTGGTTTTGAGCTAAACTGTAAGCAAAACAGTACCATAGTCAATTTCCCACCTTATGGGGATTTAGTCATTAAATCCATTTCTTATGATCTAAAAAAGCTTGACTTGCTCGACCCCAAAAACTGTGTTCATGAAGTTTTCTTGAATCTGAATCTTTCTTACACCCCATTTAGTTATTACTATATCTTGAAGGAGTATCAGTATCTGAATTGTTCAGCTCAACTTTCAGCTTCTTTTTTACAAGTTCCCTGTCTAAGTAGCTTTGCACATCATGTTTATGTTGTGGAAACATCATTTGTCCTGCCAGATTTTTGTAGCCATGTTAAAACTGTAGGAATCCCATTTTCATATAGTCCTTTCCTTTCTGATAACACTTTTGGCCTTGGTTTAACATGGCACTTGCAAAATGCTCAAGACAGTATAGCAACAAAATTTACAACTTCAGTTCAACAAGAAGCAGGACAGTTTAAAGGACTCAGTGACATAGCAAATGATAAAGGTAAGTTATTAATCAACTCAGTGTCATAGCAATTATATTACTGTTGTTATTGCCTTTATTTTTACCATTCGTTACGTAGAGGGTTTATCGGAAACAGCCTTTTTGCCTTTATAGGGTAGGGTTTAAAGCTGCGGACACACTATACTCCTCAGACCCCACGTATTAGATTAAGCTAGGTTTACTGTTGTTGTTCTATTCTTGGGGTCGACTATACAGTCAAACTTATCTATAACAGCCTCTTTTATTTCGATTTTTTCTGGTTGTTATAGCGAAGTGTTGTTATATAGAATATATATTATAACATAAAATAGAAATTGGTTCCAGAAAGAGTTCACCTTTTATAGAAATATTGTTATAGAGAGGTCTGACCTTACCACCTTCCTCCTTTATCATTGGAACTTTGGACAAACTAAATTTTGGTGTTTGATTGACCAATTATATGAGTGTTGAAATTTAACAATATACTTTAATTAGGCTCTCTTCTTTCTAATTTGCAGCCTTGGCATGTATTATCCTGTTCATATTTATAGTGGTGATGTTGTTAAGCATAAAGAAGTTATCTCATTCTACAAAGAGAGTGGAGGTGGAGAAGGTGAGAGAGAATCAGAAGGAACTTCATGCTGCCATTTTAGGGGACTATGAAGCTTTGATGCCCAAAAGAGAATTCATGGCCAATGCTAAGGTGTTGATGTTGAACGATCTAATATAGGAACAAAATTGTGACAAAAACATTCAGAGTCAAAAATGCTTTCTAATTGTTTTAAAATGATTGAGAAAAGCTCATAAATGTCGAAATCTATGTGGAAACTTTTGGTGAGCTATTGAATACCAAAGTTCATGCAAACGAGTAATATGAAGAAATTGGATGTTCTTTCATATGTTATGCTTAAGTGGGTCATGTTGCTTTATTATTATAATAATAATAATAATAATAATAATAATAATAATAATAATTATTATTATTATTATTATTATTATTATTATTATTATTATTGATAAACTTGTACGCACTTCGATTAGTCCACGAGTATCTTTTATCTTCTACTAATATATAAGTATTGAGTAATTCTACCCGCTATAGTTTAGGCAAATTAGTAGAAATCATAGTCTTTTTCTGTTGGGATTTGAAATTTGATTTTTCGGGATCTTTTCTCATTTTATTGATCACTAGAATACACCATTGATGTGTTATACTTTTTTTTAAAAAATCTTTTACTAAAAATAGGGACACATTCAATATCTGCCACTACTTTTACTCTTCTATCTGCGTTTATCTATAAAAAAAAGATTTTGTGCATTCATGTATGTGAAGTTGGACCAGTAAAGAGACAAACTCATGTTGACTGTTGTTCTCTTTTTTTGGAGGGTTTCAAATTTATATTGGTTTTGGTTTTATTTTTGAAAAAAGTTTTAATAATATTTTTGAGAAAAAAGCGGCAGTGAACAAAATTGTCGAAAAGCAAGAAAGCATATAAGTCACATTATGAAGTAGGTAGTAAGAAAAATAACCACGATTTGGTTTCAGTGTCGTACCAATGTCAAGAGCAATTGAGAGAACAAAAAAGAAAATTAAAAATGAAAGAAAGTTTGATTGTATTAATGAAAGTTATTACAGAAAAGCAACACAGTGTCGAGGGGGAGAGACACCAGTACAAAGGATTGTTTGCTTGCTAGAAAGTTTGATTGATTGATCCCCTAATAATACTTAAAAAAAATTAAACCAAAGTTACATGACCTGACCTAACTAAGCTAGAGAGACATAATGGAAATACATGAAATAAAACTACTCTATATTACAATGAAAAGGACTTAGATTCGTACGAAATAGAAGCAGGTCCGTTGGCAGCAACCTTGTCTTTAGCGTCAGCGCGCGCGGCGCTGTTGGCATCTGCCTGCGGTTGGGCTCTGGCAAACGCTATCGGCGGGTTGACAAAGACACAGGCACGCTTGTCGCTTGACGCGGCCAAGATCACGGGGTCGTCCATGGCGCTAGGCGTTTGGAGGCTTGCCAGGACGCCATAGAGCGCGTCCAAGGGGTCATGGGGCATGGCTGGAAAGCCGCCCATGACATACTCGTGTAAGTTACTCCTACATGTTATGCGAGATTGAATGTCTATTAAGAATACGTGTATAATAATATATATGGATAAAATTATTTAATATAAAAATAACTAGTACTAATACCCGCGCGATGCGCGGATACAAATCATGTAAAATTGTGATGTATTTTTTTTGAATCATGTGCAAATAATCTTAAAATATAAACCTCTCAGATAAAAATTATATAAACATTAGATATTAATTAATAAGCATGATATGAATTTATTGTTTAAATTTCGTAGTGGACAACCTATTTTTTTCTATATCTGTAACAACCTAACCCCTTGATTTTAGTACTTGTATTTCGTTTCGCTATCAATATTAAAGAATACTACATGTCACATTGTGACCTGTCTTGTTTGAACATATTAGATCATATTATTTTAATAAAATTCTTACTATCACTTTGTTTTTATCTGAATATCAAATATGCCTTATTCATCACATCATTTTTACGCAAATTCTATTTTCTTTTTGCTCTTTACTTATAGTTATTGTATTATTTAATATTATTATACTATTATATAATCTTTTATTAGCTTAACAATTAACTTAATGTCATGCTTATTATTCTATTAATAGTTTTTAATAAATATAATTTTTTTATTCTTGAAATTTAATATATTTTTATGTTTATATTGTCACGACCCAATTTTTTCCTCTGTTTGGTATCATGATAGCACCTAGTCTTAGGGACTAGATAAGCCTAACATTAATTGAAACAAAATTATTTAATTAACAACTAACAAAATAAATAGAAATCTCTTACAATTTTCAAAATCGGTAGTACAAGTCATAAGCTCTACAGAGTATTTGATAGAAAACTTTTAAATACAACTGTACAGAAATAAGAATAAACAGTGCAAAACGAAAACTTGAAGATGACTCCGAAACCTGCGAATGCAGCTGTAATGACCCAACCGATCATTTTAACTTTTAGAACCTCGTTCCCTAAAATAAAACTTTTCGTAGGTGCTTGTAATGATT